TGGGCAGGGTAAAGAGCAGGATGAGCAGGGTAAAGAGCAGGATGAGCAGGGAAAAGAGCAGGATGAGCAGGGAAAAGAGCAGGATGAGCAGGGAAAAGAGCAGGATGAGCAGGGTAAAGAGCAGGATGAGCAGGGTAAAGAGCAGGATGAGCAGGGTAAAGAGCAGGATGAGCAGGGAAAAGAGCAGGATGAGCAGGGAAAAGAGCAGGATGAGCAGGGTAAAGAGCAGGATGAGCAGGGTAAAGAGCAGGATGAGCAGGGTAAAGAGCAGGATGAGCAGGGTAAAGAGCAGGATGAGCAGGGAAAAGAGCAGGATGAGCAGGGTAAAGAGCAGGATGAGCAGGGTAAAGAGCAGAATGAGCAGGGTAAAGAGCAGGATGAGCAGGGTAAAGAGCAGGATGAGCAGGGTAAAGAGCAGGATGAGCAGGGTAAAGAGCAGGATGAGCAGGGAAAAGAGCAGGATGAGCAGGGTAAAGAGCAGGATGAGCTCAAACAGACAGGTCTCGGCACAATATATATTAAACCAATTCATCCGTTTCTTGTCATTCGTGAATCAGCCTTTATAACTTCAACATGAATACTTTTTCTGCAGTCAAACCCCATGCTTGTAACCAGTGTGATAAAAGCTTTGGACGGAGATATAATCTCTGGCGACATACCGAAAACGCTCATGCTGAAGATGAATCTGAAATGAATGGGGTTAACGATGATTCTGAAATTGAGGTTATTCAATCTGATCATCCTGACGTGGATGAATCGGGCTCGGAAACGGACTCGGAAGTAGAAGATGGCGATGAAGATGAGTCTAGTTCTGAATTAGAAGACAATGCTACTTTCCAAGACTGGTTGGAAGAGTCCAAAGAAGCGACTCGTGACATGTGGAGTGAAAAACATGAAAAGTACATCAACGAGGGTATGGGTGAAGATCAGGCCAAGGAAAAGGCCGATAGGAAGACCCTCTGGGCAGTCAAGCAAATCTTTTTTGACAAGTACAGGGATTTTCTGTCAAGCTACCTACATCTGAAAGATAACAATTCCCATCAAGATATTGTGGACAATCTCGAAGAAAAAATATATAAGGGCATTAGCGTACAAAAGGCTCTCAGCAGAATTATGCCTAAACACCAGATGAAATTTGACGGATTGTTCCATCAAGATGAAGAAGACGTAAGCGAGGAAGACAGTGACGATTAAAGACTAGTCAACATTACAATGACGATATAATTGCGAAGAAATACATTGGGACAGACAAATAAAAACACTAGAGATTTAATAAAGCAATAATAAAGTCAATAAAGCAATAATGTCATAACGTATATACTTTCTGCAGTTGTATTTTTCTTTGTTTGTGTTGTCTTATCAATCGGAAAAGCCTACTCTCAGTCATAAAATTAGCGCTTGGACACGCCCTCTAAATAACCCCCGTAAAATACTCGTAAATGAAACAGTCATCCTCGATTTTGTAAACAAATCCGGCACGGAGGTACAACTAAGGTTCAAGTGGCACCGTTTTTCTCGTCTAACGCCAATCCCCCCCCCCACCCCCACAAAAGTGGTTTCTCACACGTCCGCACAAAAGAAGAGCACTTTACGATTGAATGTTTAACTATGGATAGGCTTTTGCTTGGTTTTGGGGTCGTTCTAGTACGAAATATTACAAAATGCACAATGATGGTTGTGTTATTCCGATACACTCAATCGGGCACTTTCCAGGCCGTAGTTCCCTTTAATAACCACATGCCCGCACGTTTTGTTATGGCTTTAAACCACTGAATCCATTCCTTATTGTACGCGCCTCTGCAATAGAGCCTAATCGATAATTTAGCCGTCACGGATTAAGAAAACTTGAGCGCTATCTGATCGGACGGCCGTAATGTATACAGTAGTGTGCATGTGTACTAGCATTTGCTCTGGCTGATGCCAAAACCTTCCCTTTTCTACGATCACCGCGCACAGACATATATTTTTACTTGGATGATTCTGGTGGCAGTGTAGAAGAGTGTAATTGGTATTGTATCGATTAACATGAGGAATATAGGCGCACGGACGGAGTTATTTATTTGCTCCAGGATCGGTACGATCATCGAGGGGTGATCGACCACCGGTCTCCGTACAGACGCATGGATTATGGATCGTGGATTTATCATATACCCCCATGGCCGACACAGGCTGTACCCTGCAAGTATGCTGCGGTGAGTGTTTGTTTATACCTTGGAAAACGCAACGTTGCACAATACCCATAAACCCAATAAAAATGACTTTAAAATAATTCTTCAAATAGACAATCGTACTCGTTTCAGTCTGATCAACGCAAAGTTCATTTTTGCCATCTGTCGCTGCTTTCTGCTTTCGAGCATTCGGAAATCCAATTACTTTTTGTATCGATCGAATTAACTTCGTAACAATACTAGTGCGCTGACTTGGCACGCGCCCTCTCCCGTCTATTGTTGGGGGATTAAAGATCCGACCAGCTGGTCGTTCACAGGGACTAACGTATGAAACTCATATTCGGGCTAAGATCCAAATGTACCATAAAAATATTTTTTTTTTCCCATACCTTATGCAATCTTTCCCATAGAATAGGTTAAACTGTACCCGGTCCCTTATACCCATACCTATTCCCTATTCATCCCATCCATTCATTAGGTCAAACTGTGTTAACAATTTCCACATCCCTTAATTAATATTTATATCTACATATTTTCATATTTACATATTTATGTGACCTTTACATATTTCTATGCCCAAGGTCAAACCGTTCTAAGAAGTCCCCCTCCACTACTTATATTAATATATAATTGATAAGTCCCCTTGCACATTTTGATTTTTAGCAAGCCCCGACAAATACCACATAATATAACTCGTAATTTGTTGCATTTGTCAAGGTTCCTGAATAAGGCAAAATCAATTTATAAGTTTCTTTGCGTAAGCAAAAAATAAGTGAGAATACTATTGAAGCATCATCGCATCCCATCAATTTATGTGCCCCCCCCCCCCCCCTTGGCCCCCTCCTTCCTCGCAACGCCCATGAGTGCAGACAAGTAAATTAATTTCCATAAACAACGGGCAAATACTCGCAACTCTCACAGGTGTTCAAGACATCAATTTAAAGCTTGACTCATCCTCTTCATTTTCTGTTCAATTTTTGTGGGGTTGACCAATGCAGATTTTGAAGGTCATCGCCCTTTCGAAAAAAATTACGATCCATTCACTAGATCGCAAAATAGCAACTTTCCGCGGTCCAACTTCATCCACATTTTTCTTAAGAATTTAGGTTGCAAATCCGCATCACACCTTAGACTCTTATACTTGATACAAACCTCTCTATTAAGACACACAAATGAAAACATACAAATGCCGATTTGGTCTGCGTAGGTAATTTTGGGCCTAAAAATTTGGTCCGCAACATTGCCGGGTACAAAATTAACATACCGAACACCACATGATGGAGAGAGGAATATGAGACGCCAGCGAAAGAGACGTAGAGATGAGCTGCATGCAACAGCATTGGGTGAAGCCTTTTGGCGACATCATGTTGAGGCCTTCATCCTGCAGTGGATTGGGGTGTACGTGCACATCGTGCGCGCGTGTGTGATTACGTCTACATCAGGTGGCAGGTGGCGCTCTTTCAGATTTGGAAAGGTCCACTCATCATGGCAACAGGTTGATGTAATCGGCTTTGAATTACGATAATTTATCAAAGAATTACAGCCATATTTCTTTCCAGATTTCCCGTTTGAGGAACGATAGTCGGGAAGTACTTGGTATTGCTGGCTTTATTTGTTATTTTGCACATTGTGTGACGCCACGAGTCCTAGTTATCACGTTCACATGGATATGCAAGCCTGAAATGAGGAGTAATTTAAACAAAGTTTTGTGAAATGGTGTGCACCTGGCAAGGGACCATTGCTCTGCGAATTAAGATTTGTTTCACCCAAACACAGCACACAAATCAAATTCAGGAAAACAGTGCATTGCGACACAATTATATGAGATCCATATTTATTGAAGTGCTTTACCACAGAAGTCACACTAGCCTTGAACGTGGGGGTTTATTTTCTCGTCAAAAGAGGATTAATTCTCAACAAGATAGAACTTTAAGATGAATTACTTTTTTGTACTAAGAATTGTTTTCTAATAGGTTGTGTTGAAAAGTCTAGAGTGATTGTCTTTTCAAAATCATACTGCACTCTAATACATTTTCATCGGAATCATTTATTTAGACAGATACACCATAAAAATATTATAAGTGGGGTAATCATATGTATTACATCAGCTTTTTCCTTATGCTTTGAAATAAATTGGTACTACAAACCTTCATAGCATATATTTATTTATAGAAGTACTGACTACACAACCTTGCATTGTGTTAAAACTACTTAATGTTTCTCAATCAGCAAAAAAACACAAGAAAATAGACGTTTGCAAGATCATAACTAAAAACAGTCAATGCTTGAGCACATATTCTTGTCTCATAATAATTCTAGGGAAGACGAAGGTGAGTAGCATACAGTTACAACGGTCAAAACATTGTGATTTTTAAAAGAACGTACACTTTATAATACTACTGTAACGTCAATCCAGTATGAACTAAGCAGGGAATATTGAAGCGCAGAACAAAGTACCATAGTAGTTGAAACTACAAATTACAACATACATCATGAAAATGTCGAATGGAACATTGCTCTGTGATAGCCTATTTGCATGAGGGGGGGGGGAAGGGGTGTCTCGATTTAAGAAACACAAAAGGCATAGGGTTAGATTTTAAACGAAAACAGTGACGATAAAATGTTCTTCCTTGACATTGCAAGCCATAGCAAGGTACTAGAGGTTGTCGAAGAGTCCGGGTTTTTTTTGTGGCTGGATCCGAAAGGCCACCATGATGTCCTCTGACTGACTGACCGACCGACCGACTCCCCGACGGTGACAGACAGACTTGAGTCAACGAGTATATCGTCCCAAGATAGACATTTCGGACCCAGCTCCTAATTGGGGGGGGGGGGGGGGGGGGGGGGCGGTCACAGAGGTGTTACGAAGTCAACACATACAGATATCAAATGCCTACAGTAATGAACTTATATGACTTGCAATTTGAGTGGCCGATGTTACGTCAGGAAAAGATATTTAGTTATTTTTACCAAGAATAAAGTTGTGGCGAAAGGGTGAGCTTAACCCCAACCACCCCCTCAACACACCCTTGTGAGTTGATGGTTTACTTTATTGGTTTACAACATTAATTAAGAACGAACGGTGCGTAGTAAGGTCTGGAGTGAGATGGATATAGGAAACGCATATAGCCCTACACCGTGACGGCTTGACGCCACATTGTGATGTGAATGGAAGGACCTTTACTTGTAAGACCGCGGAACACTGGAGCTATCCCAGATCATGTCATCGGAATCCCAGCTTTCAGAGTCGGAGCTGGAGTCTAGATGGGGCTCATAGGAGGACTCGATCGGCTCGGGGGTCGACTGAGAGACCTCGCACTGGAACCCATTCATCATTCTCACCACCGCCTGTAACCCGAATTGCCGAAGAAAAAAATAGAACAATTTTTTTTCACTAACATTTCTACAACGTGTTTGCTTTATTTAAACAGAAAAGGTCTGAATTACCTTGATTTTATTCTGGTTGCCTCGCGCACAAACATATGTTTAATTAAATAAGGTTCCCGGTCCTAACATTATCGATTCTGATGGACACGGAAACCAGTCAACTGTGCCTGCGAGAATTGAATTATTGTCGGGCCGCAAATAATTCGAAAGTTGAAAAGTAATTATTCCATTATAGCGTGGGTCGATTACTTCATTTGACGTCTCATTCAAAAGTGAATCATTTTTGGGGTGAAACTGAAAATTAGTATTGATAGTACATCTTTTGTATCGATATTTCCCTAAGTGTGTAAAGCGAGCTCTACGCAGTCAATAGCTGGGGAAGGTATAGGCCCTAATGGTTCAAGAAGCTTGACAGGCTAAAAAAAATACAATTGACAAGAATATTTTTTATCAGAGTGTAACTTACTTTGTGTAAGGGATTGAGACGGATAGGGAATTCGACTAGCTCCCTGCAGAATCATAATAATTCTCATTTCTGGTTAAAAAGGAACTTATCGCAAGAATGAGAATAAAGAATATTAACAGGCCCTTGTCTTCAAGTTGAGTGGTCGTCTAGTGAGTCAGGTTTTATTCATAAGGAATTTTAGCCTGTCTTTTGTGGGCTTAATTGGGTGATATAATATGAACGGTTTTAAAGATCTAGAAAACTCGATGAAATAAAAACTCACCTGTCTCATTTCTTCATATTTAGCGCAGATATCACAGCCGCCATCACGCTGGAGGGGTCCTTGCCGCTTGTTGTGCGATGCTTCCCGGGCAAGGCGAGCGAGTCTAGTCCGCTTGGCCTTGGCCTCAGCAGACGGCGGCACTGATGCCACCAGGATCACGGCAACTAGGACAATGACAAACTTCATGATGCGCACAAATCAGATGCAAGCACGACTGAAAACAAGAAACTAATGTTTTCAAATCAAGAGGTTTGAGTGGTTGTTTCTGATCTGAAGTTGGTCTTTTATGGAATCAGCAGTTTACCTTTGTCATCGATTGTCTGATCAGTTCGTGCACGGAACCCCCCCCCCCCCCCCCCCCAAGTGAACGAACACCAAGTTTATTTCACAAAGTAAACAAAACGTCGTGTCGGAGAATGTGCTATAGTTTTAAAAGATTCGTAAAAAAATGTGTGCGATCGTGGGCAAACTGTGATGTTCGATTTTGTTTTCAGCTGTGCATCACCAAAGACACGCACACACAATTCGTGTTTGCGTGTCACTTCAACCCCCGAACAAAAATCAAAATGAAATCAAGGAACTCAGCAGGTTTGGTTTGAAGTGAATCATGCCACCCGTTTCATTATTATAGTTACTTTTGCAGTTTGAATGTAACATCAAAGAGAAAGGACACTCACCGGGATGTCCAGATGGCACATCAGTTTGGTGTCACCTGACATGAAATCCATGCTGAAAGAAATATAAAACATTAATTGTGTAAAGATTTCGTTTTTAATTGCCTTAGAAAGTTACAAAGAAATGACGATTTTTCGGGGCAAGTGCATTGCACTGTGATGATGACGTCAGTAATTACAAGCTCGGGAAGAACGTTGTTCTACGTACATGTACTTTAAACCAGAGCTGTAATGACTCGAGTCAATGAGGGTTTGTTTCCCTTATATAATGATCCAACTATGAGCTAAAAATCGTTTTGATCTGTTCAGTACTTTTCGTTGAAATTGGAAAAAAATAGATCTTGGTGCATTTTTAGAAGTTGTAACACTTGTGTTTGCAATATCTGTCAATCTTTTCAAGCCTCACGAATATTAACAAGGTTCCTACCCATTATGGTGTGCAGTAAAAATTTGCAGTATCGCCTCCTTCACAAGTTATTAATTCATAAATCTCAAATGCCGGCTTCCATTGGTCGATACCCACGCGAAGTCACACTATTATGCCAAAATCGTCTCCAAAAGTTGTACGAGTTTATAAGTTCCAATTGGTTTCGCATAGGTAAATATATTAAAAAGACAGCCTTTCTAAAACAGAAATCTAAAAATTGGATTGCACATTGTGTAATGCGTATAATTTCAGACATTATATTTGAATCGATATAAAATACTAACGCTGATGGTGACATTAAAGATTTTCTTTCAGATGAGAGTAACAGTTACTCCAATATCAAAGTGCAGTCTGTTAATGAAGCTCGTCCATGGAGCTATTGCTCCCTGGTTAGTCGTTGCTTTGTCTATTGACTTTTGATGCATCTCATTACATAACGATCGGTTAGAATTCTTTTTGGGATGTTCTTCATCTCGTCCTGCTCGAGGGATGGGTGTATACAAATTAACTACCAGAGGTCCATGCAAAATACTTCGAAACCTCTGAGGTGATTTTGTATTAAAATTGACAGTGAGATATGAGGAGAGACCAAAATCATAATACATGTATGATACTCATTGGAATCAGACTCGACTAGAAAAGCAGTTACTTTACAACTTACACCCGCTACATATACAGTCGGCTGCGTGTGTGCAAGTTGGACTGCATGTGTGCAAGTTAGGCTCTACCTACACGGAGTTTAATTATTAAAGTGCATTTTAGGAGAGAATGAAAATCAATTGAATGGGGTTGTTTCTAGCCCTACTGTTTTAAAACTCACGCTTGAAACTTGTAGATTTGTTTGCACACTGTCGTTTGCCTTTGCTGGTCACTTTTACTTTGTGGTTAAAGCAAGCTGTTAATCAAAACGACATAAAGATAATCAAAATACAAAGGCTACACTCGCCATAGTTTTGTATAGCCTCCTATTATAATTCTTCATTCCAAGTTGGTGACAAATTTCTCAGAGTATCAATGTTATACAATCATGTACATACCATTATCACATGTTACTCACGTTTGCCACACCGTTAAACATTTGAGACTATTTCCAACCCGTTTATATTTGTTCGATTTAGTAAACACTAGATGTGATGTTGACTCTCCATTTCGAACAGATTTTATAGATTTATCTATGATGTGATTCATAATCAAGCTTCGCTGTGCAGGAGATGAATGACTTTGCACCTTACCTAAAATAAAATCCATTGATGTGGTAGGTAATACATCTCATACACACCTTGCTAAAATACCAGATCGCTAAACGTTGGTCGCCAATATTCTCCCAAGTGATATCACTCTAACTTGGCTACAACCAATACTGATACAGCATTCCTCGGTATAGGCTTTTATTTGCAAGCAACCCTATCATGAGGTTCCTCATTGTCCTGACCACCGTGTGCCAGCTCTTGGCAGGGTTGGCATTAACGGCGGAGTCTGTTCGGCTCACCCGGCGCTACACGGGGCCAGAGATGGGTACAGGCGGTCTGCTGAGTCGCATGATGGCCAGAATGGCCGAGTTGAAAGAAGCACCGGAGATGGAAGCAAAGACCAACCAAGTGGTAGGTGGCGATGAAGATGTTCATTACAACATTGGCAAATGCAAAGAGTTGGACTGCGCAAGGATTCAAGAACTCAAACAGGTAAAAACCAGCCATTCATTATTCTTTTTCATTACAAGGTCCATATTTGTGAAACGTAATAACTATATCTTGACATATATTCAAGACACAAATATGGTACAGGGTCTCTGTCTCTGCCAAGTTTAAACTTTGCTATGTCTTAAAAATGACTCGAAAACAAGGGATCAAAGTCGAAGGGATTTGGGAAAGAAAAAAATGGAACGACAAAAAATGCTTCTGCGGAGAAGCCCGCCCCAAAGCTAATTGAAAATAAAGGGCATTCATTTATCAATTCGGGATTCCAATGATGAAAACGAAATGGGAAAACAGGTCAAGCATAAACAGGGTGCTCCTTTTCGAGGCAATACAAAGCCAAGTGTCCACTATCAAGTCAACAGAAGTGGCAATTTGGTTGAATCTTTGTGTTCAACTGAACACTTCAGTGCTTTATCTGTTTCCTCTACAGGCAGTGTTTGCCCTGCTCGAGGCAATCGATTGTCATGATCCTGCTGAAAGCAGCGTTCCTGGCTCAACCAGTTCCCAGACCGATTCCAGCAGCAGCCAATACTCCTTACCATCCTGGCCTACCTGGCAAGACTCACTATGGCAGTTGGACTCCTGGGATAGCAGCAGCTCGGGACAGAGTCAACAACCCCCAAGCTATGAAGAACCACCCCAGAGCCTGGACCCTCAAGCTCAAGCTATGAAGAACCAACCCCAGAACCTGGACCCTCAAGCCCAAGCTATGAAGAACCAACCCCAGAGCCTGGACCCTCAAGTTCAAGCTATGAAGAACCAACCCCAGAACATGGACCCTCAAGCTCAAGCTATGAAGAACCAACCCCAGAACCTGGACCCTCAAGCTATGAAGAACCATCCCCAGAACCTGGACCCTCAAGCTATGAAGAACCATCCCCAGAACCTGGACCCTCAAGCTATGAAGAACCAACCCCAGAACCTGGACCCTCCAGCTATGAAGAACCATCCCCAGAACCTGGACCCTCAAGCTATGAAGAACCATCCCCAGAACCTGGACCCTCAAGCTATGAAGAACCAACCCCAGAACCTGGACCCTCAAGCTATGAAGAACCATCCCCTGAACCCACATCTCTAAGTTACAAAGAGCCCTACAACGAGTACTTTGGCAAGAATTTCAAACGATACTATAGGAAATAGATTGGATCTTGGATCGATCCCATCCCTCCAATTGAAGTTGTTCTCCCACTTATGGCAATGTAGTCGTCTTGTCAATATTCAGCCAAAATTATAGAATCTCACTGCATGATCACTCAACAATAGCCATCGTAACAAAATTTAAGCTGCCAAATAATTATTTAGTGAAAGACTTATTCTCTCATGAAAATATGTTCATGTAAGTAACCCAAAAGGTTTTGCCACTAAAATCTCTATTGTTTCAGATATACTTGAATTTTTAAGTTCACAATCTTTTACAAATGCGATTTTCTTTCAGCTATCTTACAAATAATAATCAATGATTCAAGATTCTTATGTTTGCGATTCCCATTATTTAGATATACATGTACAGGGTGTATTGAACAGATAATCCGCATATAATGGGTAAGTACAAATGTATGTAAAAGTCTTCTGTCACTGCAGAGATGCAAATAAGGTATCAATGAAATCTGATGAAACACCCTTTAAGATGGAACCACATTGACAGTGTTCAAGTTCATAACCATTACGTTCCCATTATTTTCAGATTACATTTTGATACACCCTGCACAGAGAGGATATAGGATATCGGAATATTAAATTGTTTTGAAGTGTCAACAAATATACCAGCATTTTATGAGCTCTTTATTAATGGAACAGACTCTGTACATATCTACATATCTCTGTACATTACCCTTCAAATCAAAAGCACAATAATAAAACAGAACCATGGAAATTGGAATGCACTTGTAACAGTCACTTGAATAGGTTGTCAATTGACTTCAGATTTGCCAACGTGATTGGCTGCTAGTCTAAAGCTACTGTCGAATGAGTGTATTTTGGTGCCATTTTTATTGTTGGCTTACACTCCATGTGTTGATGCACATTCACTCTGTCATCCGTAGATCTTACACCATTTTGGTTGGTTTTTCAGAGATTGCATGCTATGGACTCCGTGCACGAATGAGCTATGGCACTTTGTGGCCACTCCTGAGAGCTCACGTGAACAGACATATCACATGCATGTACATTGTATTGGTTAGCGCACGTATTACACGCAGTACACATTATTAATTCTATTCTAAATCTACAAAAAGCCATAGTGTGATAGGTGTCTTTAACGTTCAAGAGATCATCCAACTGGTCTCCCCTTTCTCTTCCTTTTAAACCGTCGAGGAGTACTTGTGCATGGGGCTCATATGCCTCATCTGACAATCAATAAGTAAGCCACATTGTACCCACTGATGTCCCCACACAGAGCCAACAGGTTTTCCATCAACAGAATGTTGTTCCACATAAACACTGACTGACGTTCCACTTTGGATCGAGCTGAAGTATGAGTTGTGCAGTTCCAGCATATTTACAGCAGCTCAGGCACTCAGTCTTGTGTTTTATTCATGCATGTATATAGCATGGTTTGCATATGAAATCCCATTAATATCATCCCATTTGTTGCCCAGTCATTAGCAAATCTGCGTCCAGGTTCTAGTGCATATTCATAATGGGCCATCCATTCCATTCAGGCTGCCCTCATGCATGAGTGTCTGTCTATTTCTGTTAACTGCTGCATGTCCAAGGCGGTTGGTTCACCTCAAGCATCATGGTACAAAGAGGGCCCTGCTGCATATTCATGATCAGGACCGCCTCCGCTGCATATGCAACAGTGCAGGGTTGTGAATCTGTACATTCATGAGAATGGGTCATCTTCACTGTACACCTGCATTTCCCTTTTGTCCTTGTGTTTGCCTCCCTTGATGTTTCCCATGGCTGCAAAAAGCACAAGTCAAAGTCATTACAGATAAACCAGAATGGAACTTCTAAAGACAAAACCCTAATGCCTTAGATCAGTTTGAAAGCTTTACATATGGCTTGGTTTCCATGCGAATTTAATACACTAAAAGCTGGCATTGAAGTGTCTATCCTAATTGACTGGGGTGTATTATGGAAGAAATTCAACAACTATTAGTAGAAACTGCCAAATGCTATCATTTTGCAACAGACTCAGCAGCTTGTTTTTCTGAATTTTTAAAATTGAATAATGGTGGATTTGTAATTGAAATGTAGCTTCCAAATGTACTGTTTACTGAAGTCATCAGTTAAGTTTAGAAGTGTCGTCTACCAGGCAAATGCTTGGCGATGCTCTGAATCGTTCCAATTTTTGGAGCAGCCTGTTTCAGAAATCAGGCTTGCAGACCATTCTACCATTTGAACTCCCATTTCAGACCCGATTGCCAGAAGGGATTGAGTTCAATTTTACACTACACAAACAACAAATGGAGCTGTGCCCATAAGCTGACTTTCTATCAGTAAACGTGATAATTCTGATAACTCTGGTATGAGGCATTTATTGTGTACAAGAGAAAATCCGGAGTGCAAATTTGCTTACCTAAGTTAGACCACTGTGAGTTGCCTGTGGCCTGGGCTGAATCGCTGCTGTTGAACCTATACACGTTGGGCTGACGTCGGGCTAGGGACACGTAAAGTCTGACTCCATCCATCATCTTGTTGTTCATGTCTTCTATTGCACGACTTGCAGCATCACTGTCCTCAAAAGTGACGAAGGCACAGCTGCAAAACATAACCAAAAACATGGATGGACAAAGAAACCCTTATCATCAAAATCTTGTTAAATGCATTCGGGACTTTTGGAGTAATGTGGAAGGTTGAACCTAGCCACAACAACTTTATATGGTGCATGATGCTTCTTGAAAGTTCAAGTCTCCAGTGCCACCAGGGTTTTCATTGAGGGTAGGGGACAGTTAACGTTGGTTATAGAAAATAAAAGGTGTGGGAACCGTTTCTGAAAGGTGAGGGGAAGTTCAAATGAGCAATACTTGTACTACAGTGCAGTGACTCCGCTCATTTTAAGTGTGGCATCTTTTTTTCCAGTGTGGTGGACCATATTCAGCACGGGGGAATTTCTTAATTGTTCCAGTCAGTGTGGGCAGAGCACCACATATAAGAATGCTTGGTGAGATCACTTCTGTGCACAGTGGTGCACAGTGGATTTTGGATCATTCAGAGAGATTAATTGAAAATTGCCCAAAACATATTGTATCTGTGTGTTTTCCAGGATCTTATATTTTGGGGAAAAACTACTACAATGGCCTACAATGTTTTACTATGACATACAATGAGAATATGCACAACAGGGAACAGCTTCATCACTAGTATCACTTTTGTGTGTGTTAAGAATTAAAATGTTACCAATCCTGCTAGACTTAAATCCAGGGCCACATATTATCAACCTGCAAAGTACAACTTATCATCTAGTGAATTTATGCGCAAGGTATCCATAGTGAACCAGTCACAATATACATCATATGACAAGTTAGATGTAAAATGGTGACAGCTTAATAAACATTTAATTGCTCTGCTGCTCAATCACACAGTTTCAACAAAGAAAGCCTGGTCAAAATAAAAATAAAATGGTTTTTTTTGCCTTTATAAAATGTCTTCAAACAAAAAGCCCTCCAAAAATATCACAAGATTCCAAGTGCAAAATGTTGACCTCTTTACCTCTTTTCTTGTTCCACACTGATATTTAATATCTTGCCGAAGCCTTTCAACGCCTTATCACACAGTTCATGGGTGATTCCGTACCCATGGACATAGATTGTGTTGCCACGCTTCTTCTCACCTGTCCCCGAGAAAGAAAAAAACCCACATCCATATAACAAACAACAGATGTTTGGGTACACAGGAGATTCAGGTAAATTATTATCAGGATTGAAAGTTCATTAGCACAGGGTCAATCAATACAGAAACATCTGTTGTGAAATCAATTCCTTCTATGTCTCTTTTCATGATTGTTCAGTTGGTATTGTTTTTAGTCTTGAAGTCATACTTCTTTGACTTCTTTACTGTCTGCTTGAACAGTGTTACATGTTAAAAAATAGTTCCTTAAAAAAACTGCAGCCTTTTGGATATGTACGCCTACATAATATGTGCTGACAGGTACAGAATAGCACCTTAGAAGAGCTACTTTTTTCCCTTATAAATTAGCCATTTACGCTAACTGATTTGAACAGACAGATTCACCACTGTATCTCTGGAGAAATATTTTGCAAATGTTGCAATAGGCTGCATTCTACTACTTCTATTTTATACTACATGTATTCCACTGGTGGAGTAGTAGTTCGTTAATCACATTCAAATTGCAAAAGGGTGTGAAATACATGCATGTCAAATGATTGCCTTTGTCACAGTTCATTGAATATGTTGTGACTTGAGACTAAATAAGTTGTGTGAGGACAGGCCTACAACTCTGCAATCTAACAGCAACTCAACAACATTGTAAACTATATTTACCGTCGGGTGTGTCTGGTTGCGATGTGCTTCTACTGCTGACAAAGCTAGAGTACCAAAAAAAACACCAATAAGCATCAATCAAGCTGTAAACATTGTGCTGATAAACAAAAATCTTGATAGTAGATTTTTATTTTCAGTGATGTAGCCGGAATCTTTAGGTTCCTGTTGTACGTCAGTAGTAGAATAGTGTAATAACAAACACTGCTATATTATACATTCGCTTTAATGAACATCTTTTAAAGCTCCAAATTTATGTGCATTTATACAGAGCGCTGGCAGCCAAATTTTTTGAAATGTCTTGTTAACAGTTTCTCGGTACAATATTAGAGTATGTTTTGGAGAAGGGTAATTTCTGGGTAACAATTTTTATATGTGACCATCAAGCCCTTTTTATAAGATCCATGTCTGGGATGTGTACTGAACAAGTTTGCCTATTTGTAAGAATGTGACCTTTTGGTCAGTCTGGTTGACATTACTCTCCTAATAGTTACTTGGCCATACTTACAAAACTGACCGTAAACATTTTAGCACCCAAAAAGTGGGGGGAAATGATATAAACCAATATTTTGAAGTAACAACACTGTCACAAATTGAACTATATTTACTCCAGCATCATGGAGGGCGCTTTAGTCTGGTTCACACCCCACTCACCTCTCCTGTAGGCTCTTTCTATGCAATCTCCTGTTGTCCATACCTGGTCCCGGACTCATCTCTTCCCCACTGGACGGCCCACTATTTGGGCTGACAAAGGGCTGGAAGCTAGGCAGGGTCTGTGCTTTCTCAGGTTCCTTCAGGCTACGTTGAAGCTTGCGTGATCGCTTGAAGCCGGAACTCTTATTCTCCTCCAGTTTGGCTTGCTTGGCCTACGGATGGTAACCAGTAACATTGATCATCTGTGACTGGCAGGTATATGTCTGGATACTAAATGTATTTCAGAAGTCATTAAAAAGTTCTCAGATTCACAAAGTGTATTTCAGAAAAAGTCTGAAATTCTCCATGCTTGAATTGCATGTAAACAGGTCTTGTTCAATGACAATTGTTTGCTCCAATATGGACTACGTGCACAAGTAAATATTTTCCATATTACCAACTATTTTTCAATAAATTTCAATGATAGTATTCATACTAAGTGGTACAGTATAACTAGCCTCCCTGGTTATCCATGGGGAATTCTAGTTTCAAAAAAAAACAAAAATCACATCAGAGAAATTGAATTTCTCCACAGACCATCACTTTGCTACAAATGTCAGCCTACACAATTTTCATATACAAAATTAGTAAGATAAAATGATTTTGCAGTTTGCTAAAACACAAACCTGTTGTGCTGCTAGGACTGACTTGGCCTTCTCCTTCGCATCTTCTTGGCTCATTTCAGGTGCAGCTGCAGCAGAAAAAAGCAAAGGGGAAACATTTTTATTTATCACATAATGATTAACTGCATGGGGAAAAAAATCTTGAATGTAATTTATGGCCAGGCCCAGTCCAGTCAAATTTCTTGCAAACACTTTCTGGAAATCATAGTTGTTTTTCTAAAGGAGCCAATTACATGTAGATATTGGATGGTCATCATTCAAAATTTTAAACAGGTCTGTTTGTTTATATGGTTTAGTTTTTTGTTAAGTTTGGCCTACAACATAAACCCCGGCACTTCCAGATCCATCAAAATCCACTGGAGATTTTGATAGTTTTGTAGGATCAAGGAATGTACAGCCTACACCCCTACATTCTAATTCCCCTCAAATAATTGAAATGCAAAGAATGTGCCTATGATGTCCTGCACAGTGGTGGGTTTTGGAGGATTCAGGGAAGGTTCCTAACCAATGCCGTGAGAGTTAACCCACACTCCCCACACATCTTCAACAGAACACTTTCCCAAATCCTTCAAAATCCACCATCGGGTTGTAAGTTATTTTTGGAATGGACAAAGAAGTCACTTTTTTCCTATGAGTGCACATGTCATTTATTGCTGAAGGTAGAGTGTTTACTCACGTCTCTTCAGGCCATCCTGTGGTGTTGATGGGGCTGGCTTGTTCTTGTTATTTTTTATCTGCTGTAAAATTTTCTTCTACAAAAACAATCCATGAATAAAATCAAAAAGTCAGTTTATGACGTCAAATTCTGCTACTGTTGCACAAGACAATCAAATGCAGAGTGCACTACTGGGGCTGATCTAGCTTTCAGCAAATGGGGGGGGGGGGGTATGAATTGTCCATTTTTTGAACAATGGATTCGCCCAGACTAGTTGAGCGCTTCTACTACTATTTTAGTTTATTTACAAATTGTACAAGAAACAGCCTGCCGTCACATTGCAACTTGTGCGCCGGATCGCGGAGCGACAAGATCAATTTTGCAAACACAACATCACTGCTTTGGGGTTAGCATTTCATACATTCAAAATGGCTGCCATCAACAGACTTTTATGTGTGCATATATCATATGGACTCCAGAAAGATGCCTGAATTTCTCGAAAAATTGGATAAGATAAACAACCCAGAGGGCAAAAGCTGAGTAAGACACATGATCATAAAATACAACCGTAAGGGTAAGTGCAGTTTCGTGCGCCGGAAAATGACACTGTGTGGCTGAATGTACAGTGCAGCAATACCGAGGCCACTAGTTTGATCTAATAGGAATAGTTTTGGGCCTAAACTCGTCGTACGTTTCGCGTTGAAAAAACAACTTGTGCATTATTTTAAGGCAGTGTATATTTTGCCGGAGACGGCAAACCTTTAGTAAACGTTAGTTTGCCGGATATGCAATGAACATGCGCAGTTACTGTTTTTTTGTACTTAAACATTTTCCGGTGACAAATTTTAGTCTGGCTCCATGCCAAAATTATCGTTGTAACCTCGTATTCACAAGATGGGATTCAGACCATTTTATAATTTCGGACTATATTTCCCTTTTAAAAAAAATCCTCCAGAGCCACAAATCTGAAAAAGAAAATGCAATACTCTGCAAAAAAATGTTTGAGACATGTTAAAATAATAAAAGAAGAATATTCTTATTTATTTGGGGATGAGAAAAAAAAACTTTAAAAATGTGGTACGGTCGGAATCGAACCCGAGTCATCCCGCTTACTAGAGCCTTTGCTTAAGCACTACCCCAACATGCCCAAACGTGCTACACAACTTTTAGTGGGAATTTAATACATCTTATAATTCAGCCCTATCTTAAAGAGTACAGCGCCCTCTGTTGATATGGATTGCCGCCGGCAAACCTTTAGTAAACGTTAGTTTGCCGTCATTACCTCCGGCAAAATATCCATTATCTTATTTTAACTTTAATTTAGGCCTGGTAGGCCTAATGCTGAAAAATGCTGAACATGCTGAATGAAGCTTTCTGTCGCTATTTCTACCATATAAAGCTTTTTTTATGTTCCAAAACTTATACAAAGTTTGTTGATGTTGGGTTGACGACCGTTGACGCTTGTTGACGCTAGTTGACGCATTTTTAGTAGGACCGCTAACGTTTATACTAGTTTTGATTATTTTCACGAATTTAATGCAGTGCATTTTATATAACAATAAAACAAAATATTATAGGAAAGCCAAAGATGCTTTACCTTTTTCCTTATTTTCGCATATTTATTTTGTAACATTTCTTCTTCCTCCGTAAGACGGGACGGAAATACCATTTTTCAAACGCTGTAAGTGTAATTGTAAATTAACAAGAATTATTGGAAATCTGGGCTTGTAATACATGCAGTTGCACAGCACATGCTGTACGGCGAAATCGCAAAATGTATTACTTTGATTGGTGACCTGGAAAAAGTACATGAAAAACCGTGGACTTTGACGGGTACCAGTGTCAAGTCCAGAGTAGCCTCTAGATGGCGCTGTTCATTTAGTGCGATTGAAAAGTCTCCATTTCTAGAATTTAGAACATTTTTCAGATATAAGTACAGTGACAGCGATCGAGTAGGCCCTATTGACTAGATGACTGTGCGCCTTCAGGAAATAACCTTTCACATTCTTTGGCAAAATTAGTGGGGTTTTTTTTGTATCGTCAGTTAACTGCCATGGCTGGTCCGGGTCCCGCCATTCCCAAGTCCAATTCGAAAACGAAGATGACGTGGATTGTCGATCTGGCTCGTCATTTGCCTGGCTTCGAGGACGTGTTTGACGAGCAGACGTTTTACTGGACTGCCTTCGTCTTCGTTATTTCCACCCTTATTTTGGCATTTTTCCTTTCACGAAGGTTCAAAATTTCCAATTGCGACATGATGTAAATAAACAGTCATAATAAATGCTTCTGGTTATAATGTTTAGAAGCATGCGAACCGGGTGTTTGTTCTGTATTTCATTGTGTGTGTTCGATCTGTTCAGCACTGGGGTTCAGCACGGAAACAGGTCAACTCGTACGCGAACCAACTCGTACGCGAGACAACTCGTACGCTGATTGGTCAACTCGTACGCGAGACAACTCGTACGCGAGCCAACTCGTACGCGTGCCAACTCGTACGCGAGCCAACTCGTACGCGAGCCAACTCGTACGCGAACCAACTCGTACGCGAACCAACTCGTACGCGGGCCGTTTTAGGAGTGGTTTCGAGGATTGGGTTGGCATGGTTGGGAAGAATTTGGGAATAATTCAATGTAGTTCAATGTGTGACCGTTGTGTGTGATTGGGAGTGAACCCGTGAATGATGATAATAAAGTAACTGATTTTTGTAGTTAGACGAGTGTTGTATCGTTTTGTGCATACCTGTAGCCTTGTCACGTCAAATTTAATTCCATATAATAATGCAATGATGTACCAGTTGCATTTTTCGTTTTTTTTTAATCAATGTACCTGTCAGTCAATTAATTGCCACCATTGTCAAACTGACCCAATTGCAACGCTCTGGACTACCATGGATCTGTTCTCGCGGTTCGGTGTCCTAAAAGAACCGGCGGGTTTAGAAGTCGGCATCCTTCATCCTTTGTATCGTAAAACCAATCAAAAGAGATCGATCAGACTTGTCAACTGCCTGTCACTTAACTTTCATTGTGGTTCACAACCATTGATCAATTAAAAAGCAGACACGCGGGGACATCCGTAGGCCTAGCAATTTCTATTTACAACTGAAATGCTTGGTATAACCATGGAGGTATAACACATAACACATCCGGGTTCGAAATTAGCGGTATAGCCCGCTAACCAAATGCTTGTCAAAACAGCGGCGGCCGGGGCTAGACAAACTATTCCTTAACCAGGCCGGCGTGCGAGTGAACAATTATTGGGATACGGCAAAGATCAACGAACAGAAAGAAAAAAAAATCATAAAATTCAAAAAGGAAACCCCTTTAATTTGTGTCTAATTATCAACTGTTTTAAAGGGTTAAATTATCTGATCTGTTAATCAAAAACACCAACAAAATTCCCTCAGAATTGCGCTTGAAAATACGCCATTTTGTATCTGAGATAAGAAAAAAATGCGGGCTAGTAGAAATGCCCGTGGGCCAGTAACCAACCAGCAATTGTACCGCGGCCATGCCCGTGCATACACAGGTTACAGCGATTCAATCATGCATTCTTTATACAGTGCGCGGTGCGGCGGGAACCAATCATACTGGTTATCGCGAAGACAACTTCCCAATCAATCAAGCGAACTTGTAAAAAAAAAAAAAACCGCAGAATTCTTCTAAAAAATCGCGAATGTAAGTAGCACTGGCGGATTCAAAAATCAACTACATTTAATTTGAAAATCTCAACCTTTCAGAAAAGGTAAAATTATGCCGACCTCCCGTACCGAACCTAATTTCGTCTGTCCATGTGAGCTAAACCAATGGTCTAAACTCACGCGTACGAGTTGGTCCGCGTACGAGTTGGTCCGCGTACGAGTCGGTCCGCGTACGAGTTGGTCCGCGTACGAGTCGGTTCGCGTACGAATTGTCCCGCGTACGAGTTGGTCGCGTACGAGTTGGTTCGCGTACGAGTTGACCTGTATTCTTCAGCACCACCAGACTTTTGCGTGGTTACGTAATAATTAATTGATCCCACAAAACTAATATCAATCCACGCACTGTATTTTCCCACAAGTGCACGATTTATCACTTTTTTTCAAGAATTGTTGGCACATGTAATCGAAATAAACGCACGTTTTGTATGAATTCGTAATGAAACAATGGATGTGAACTGCTGCTGTTGTGAATAATATGTAGCGGACTAAGTTTTTGGTGGCGCACTTCTACCGACTGCCAACTGTATAATCAAAACTGCATTGACATTCTCAAGACCGCTACAGCTACTGAGCTAGTCTAAACTTCACAAACCGGATGTCGTCTTGGAATAGAATTATTAGAAAGCTTTGACGAACGCTTGAGGATTTCATAACTTTTGGATTAGGACTAGGAGAAGAGGCGTATACGTTTTGCTTGATCGCGGTAGCTAGCCTCGACATGGGGAAAAGAAACAGCAAGTTGAGGCAGGAAACTTTGACGGATCTTCTGGAAAAAACTCATTGTAAGTTTTGTCCTGCATATATTTACATCAACACTTGGTGACTTTACATTTCATTGTTATTGTTGGTGTTATTTTTGTGTTAATTAATGTCGGGTAGTGGTACAGTCTGGATTGAAAAGTGTATTTTACTGTAGGTAAAATTGTCTTATATTTCATCAAAAAAAGGCTAGGTAGGCCTAGGTGTACTTCTTGTTTATGAACTTTTTTCCTTGGACTTGGTCTTGGGGGGGGGGGGGGGGGGGGGGGTGCGGGATGGACTGTGATCGGGGAGGGGGGAACCACGTCCCTCCACTTTTCGTTGGGGGATAACAATGGCCAAGCCCCCCCCCCCTAATCATTTATCAAAGTTCATTGGCCGTATATAGCAATTGTGAAATTTGTCACGTTTTTTGCTGCTTTCAGGATTTTTTTTTTTTATCAAGATTTTTTTAATTGAACACTCCCTGCTGAAAATGAAACAGAACAGAAAATAAACTATTCTGTTTATTTGTTGACATTTGAATAACTTCAAATTTTATTTATTTGCTTTCTTTCCCAGTTAATGAAAAGGAAATTCTACAGTGGTAAGTACAAGAAACAATTTTGTTTTTAAATTATAATCGTTGTGTCTAGTCTTTGAAGTTTTGGCACAATTGCAGAATACCCCGCCACTCGATCTATCCACCTCGTAGCCGGCTACGAGGTCACGGTTGGTTGACCTCAGTAAACATTCTCAGCGCTACTTGTATGTATTATGTGTCATGCTCCATTGCACTCCCACTTCGTAACCGCGTAGCCGCCAACAGGGTAGTTGGTTTGGACTTAGAATTTTTCAGCAACTCCCATTCCTTTTGTGTTGCTTCGTTCTCAAGCATATTCAAGGGGACTCCCACTCCGTATCCGCGTAGCCGCCAACAGGGTGGTTGGTTTGGACTTAGAATTTTTTTCAGCAACTCCCATTCCTTTTGTGTTGCTTAGTTCTCAAATAATGGACCCCCACTCCATGCGTAGCTGGCATGGACTTGAATTGTTTCTTTTCCAGTGATTCCAACCTCGTAGCCAGAGAATTTAGGGGTGTATTTCCGAGTGGCGGGGTATTCTGCAATTACTCCGAAGTTTTTGCTGATGGTACATGTACACCTACATGTACCGTACCATCATGTGTACATTTGTGTACGTGTACATGTTCAGTCGAGTCTCGTTAATACAAACTCGTTCGGACCTAACCAAATTGTTTGTTGTATCAGAATTTTGTATTAAGAGGAACATTAGTGATGTCGAGCGCAATTTGAGTCCCCCACGCAAGTTTAAACTTGCGCGCGCAAGTTTAAACTTGCGCGAGGGACTCCTGAAGCACGCAAATTACACCGCGCCATTTTAATTTGCGTGCGCAAGTTCAAACTTGCGCAATGGCGATCGCAACCTTCTTTTTGCGGGCGGGATTTTCATTGATGAAGACTTTTTTTTTTCAAAACACAAGAAATAATGGAATAAATGAATGAATAAAGAAATAAATAAAAAGGGGAATTCAATTAGCGTCAATGAAAAGAAACATTGAGATTTAGCAGTGCTTATCAGAGAAGTTGTTAATAATAAGGGTACGTGGGGGCGGGGCTGGGGACCGGGCAAGCAATCAACTTAAGCACACTAGCGGCGATTGCTTGGAAAGTGTACTGAAATTATTCAATAATGGAGACCAGCTTCAAGTTTTTTGCTTTGTAAACCTAATTGGCATTTTATTTATATTCTTGAATGTAAATATAGGTTTTCTCGGTCAATTTCGGCAAATGAGCAGCCAATTTAACCACTACGCTATTCTATTTCGCGCGAAATCAAATGCTACTGAAAAGGGTCATTCGATTTCGTTTTATGACCAGTCAAATGTACTGTTGCGTCATTCGATTTAACAAAATAATCATGCAATTTAACAATTCAACAAAGCAGCATTCAAATTCGCAGGAGCTTTTTGAGGCGTGTGTTTAGTCATTCAAATTCATTTTTGGGCAGTCATTTCTGGAATTTGTGCATCTAAAAAACGCTTTGTTAAATTTTTGTTTCCTTAAGAATGTTGAAGGCATAAATACGGTTCACTTTTTGGCACTTGAGTCACTTTGCCGATGTACTTCGAAGACGAGCTTTCGCTACAGTTTTACACGCATATTTCTAGAAATGGCAGCTCGTGGTCGCTACGCTAGAGTGGCCCAGGTAGATCGAGAAAGGTTGATTGAGGCCTTCGAGGGAAACGAGCAAGACTACCTTCAGCTTGCGGTCAATTTGAACATCAACAAGTCCACAGCCAGATCAATTGTTGCAACATATTTGAGGACTGGAAGGCGAGAGACGCTGGCAAGAGGAGGAGCAACCCACAGCAAGATGGATGATGACATGCGAAACCATCTGCAAGGTATCCTTGACGCTAATCCCGTCTTGACACTTCAACAAATGAAGGCTAGTTTGAGTGAGCATCTGCCAGAGAAGCCCCAGGTTTCTACTGCCACCATAGCCAGGGCCTTGGATGGGAGGATGATTACACTGAAACTAGTGGAGGACGTCCCTGATGCAAGAAATTCCCCTGAAGTTCTTGATCAACGCGTCCAGTATGGTGAGTGGTTCCTGCAGCATGGTGTTCTGGTGCATCTAGTCTTCATTGACGAGACAGGTTATAACATCTGGACTCGACGCTCCCAGGGTAGAGCTCCACGAGGGATCGCTGCAAGACGAGTCGTCGACAGACAACGAGGGAGAAATTGCAATGTCACCTTCGCTGTTTCTAGTGAAGTAGGCTTGGTGCACCACCGAATCGCATTCGAAACTGTGACGCGAGAGAGATTCGAGGAGTTTCTTGCGGACACAATTCAAGAGTGTGATGCAGTTTTCCCAGACGACGAACCCATTTACCTCATATACGACAATGCGAGGCCTCACGTGCGAGCCCAACTCCCTGAAGGTGCCAACCCAATGATCCAGCTGAAGCGCCTCCCTCCCTACTCCCCATTCCTGAACAGCACGGAGATGGCACACTCTGCATTCAAGGCTGCAGTTAAACGCATCCTTGGGTTACCTGAGTGGCAACAACGTGTCGGAGACAGACAGGCTGCCCAGCAAGCAGGAATGAACATGCAGCAGTGGAGGTGCGATCTCCTTCAACAAGCAGCCATCCAGAGCGTTGATGTCATCACCCAAGTGAAGTGCATGCAGTGGTACAACCATACCCAAACATATATGCCAAGATGTCTGGCACGCCAACAGATTGATGGTTGAGGAAGAAACAACATAAACAATAAAAAAACAGGAAAAACATAAAGAAACATCCCATTCAAACACAATACAAAATTAGGTCTTGGTCAGTTAACCAATAAAGATCCCCCCAAAAAAAAGAATGAAGAAGAAAACAAAGAAGAAGAAAAAACCTCATTGGCCCCATGTAAAGTCTACTGGAAGCATAAATAAATAAAACAAGGTTTGCCTGAATTAAAGTGAAGATACGAAACAGTTGCCTAGTACAGTTTATCTGTTTATTCGTATTTCTTTAGTCGTACTTATTTGATTTCTCTTTAAGCGAAATTGATTGCCTCTTTACGAAATTGAAAAAAAATTAAATCAGTAAAATCTCCTTTCGAACCAGCTTTGCTAAATTGAATGATGATTGTGTGTCACGAAAAAGAATGACGATATGCTAAATTGAACACAGTGCTAAAGGAATTTGAATGCCTCAAAACGAAATTGAATGGCCGAATTCTGAATTTGAAACGCAGTAACAACTGGAGAGGCAAAATAGCTTCAATTCAAACGCACGGAAATTAAATTGGCTGCTCATTTGACCGAGAAAACTTATAAATCATAATTTCCTAGGTGTAACCCGCTGTTCACGTAAAAAGAATGATTATGATCCCTTCAATAGTTCAATTGTTCAAGTTTTGACATTATAGTAATCATTTACATTATTTTTAAAATGCTTATGTATTCTACAATTAAAAAAGTACTTATTCTTAAAAAATATTGTTTTTAGAAATACTTGCATAACATTTCGAGCGCTGTGTACACTTCAAAAATGCATAATTTGAAGAAAAAAAATAATGATTGCATTACTAATTTAATTAATTAATTAAATGTATTACTTTAACAAATATGTTTTATTGCAGGCTCAATAATTCATATTAAAAAATGTTTACAACTTAAAAACGCTATGCATATAAAATGGTAATTATTTTAAAAATAAATAAATTTGCAAATGATTTAATTAATGAATTTAATAAAATGTTTCAAAAAAAAGGCATTAAGGCGTCTCCCGAAGCTCAGTGATGCTATTAGTAAATCGGAGAAAAAAATCTGCTTTAAAAATAATGTTACATATCTGCATAGTTTAACGGCTCTGTATGCGTGGCCGGGAAAATCTATGCAGTGCGCAAGTTTAAACTTGCGTGCGCAATTTGTAGCAAGGAAATGAATGCGCGCGCAAGTTTAAACTTGCGTGTGCGCAGGTTTAAACTTGCGCGCGCAAGTTTAAACTTGCGCGGGGGACTCACTTTGCGCTCGACAGTCCCATTCATTGTGCACATAAATGCACACTAAGGCTGTATGTTTGTTATAACCAGAATTTTGTATTAACAGAGTTTGTACTAACGAGATTCGACTGTACATGTACACATGTGCATGTATTATGTAATTTATATAAATGTAAATGTACTGGAAAGTGTAACCAAATGGGTTTGTGGCAAAGGGTTTTTGTTCCTTTTTGGTTTTTGTCTCGCCTGAACGAAGTTCAGGAAAGAGAACATGCAATCACTATGTCTGTCCGTATATTAGTATACAGTCATCATGTGGACATGCGAACAAAAGATGTCCACATATTAATGCAAGTTGTGTTGACGTTATGTGGACTAAGCCATGTCCACATAATGTTTCACCCTCTCTGGAAAACAGGTTTAGAGGCATGATGTTAGGCTTTGCATGGTGGAGTATCGGCACCGTTTCGGTTTGCGGTAACACCATGTGGTATTAACTACTGCTTAGGCCATGTTCAGACACCGTGTTAGCTAAAACGGTAAAAGTTAAAATGGTAGCTCGCCATGTGAGGCCCGTCGTAAAAATAAAACTACCGAGCGTCCAGACATCGTTTTAAGTTCAACTCGAAGCAGTTTATCTCAGTTTCTAAGGTCACGTAGAACATCCGCCTCGGCAAAAACCGCGCGCTAAAAAGAGCCTTCACTCTTCCATTTTGACAGTTCGCTACACGTGGTCTGAGCCCCTCACCGTGTGATGTGTGTTGCCATGCCGTGTTTGACATCGCAGCCTTGGCCGGTCATGTAGCATGGCACGCGGTAAACATCACGACAGTCACTTGTCCACCGGGGCGATTTCCCCATTATTTTTAGGTGTTGGGCTTTAGCCCAAAACCTATTGTTTTTCTACGAGTTTAATATTCTTGTTTTTTTAAATTTCTCATAGACACATTCTTCCCCGGAACTGTTTGTCAAAATGAAAAGTGATATGAACTTCAATTGTCAATACACGAATGCCCAACCCACTGCAGATGTATTTTTTTGTAATTACGTCATCATGATGTCATCATGAGTCACGTGAC